TGGGCCGTACTGCCCAGCCCAGCCCAAGCCCAGCCCAGCCCAAGCCCAGCCGACCCCCGCGCCAGCCCTCTGCTTCCACTCGCGTTCCAGCCCCGACCCCACCCCCGGTCCCGGCCCACCTGCCCGGCCCGGCTCTGCCCCGCAGCCCGGCCCCGCCGCCGCGCTCTGACCTACTTTCCCCTCCCGGGACATAAACAATCCTCTCTCGGCACCGCCCCTCAGGCACCCATTGGCTGCGTCTGAGTCGTTCCCCTTTTTTATTGGCTAAGAGACCCGTCGCTTATAGCTGAAGGAGACGGAAGGGGGATGTACTTAAAGGCATCCCAGCACCACTGGCTACGTCGTGCGTCAATCCTCGAGGAGCCGCGCCATTGGGCGGCCACAGTGGAGGGCAAGAGCGCGTCGCGGGAGGAAAACACTGAGCCCATTGGCTGGTGGTGGGGGAGCCAGAGGGTTGGATTGGCTGTAGAGCCTTGGGAGGCGGGTTCTAGATGAGTGCGCTGATTGCGATTGGGAACGGCGCCTGCCAGTCTGTAGGGGTGGGGCTTTACCTCGGCGGAAGGCGGAAGCGGGCGGTGCTGGGCGGCAGCATGGAGGAGGTGGTGGCAGGGGGTGAGCGGCGATGGGGGCTGTGGCCGGGTTATTCTCCGGGGTCGCTGGGTGGGAACTGGCCTTCCTGGGCAGAGGGGCGATCCCGGGGTGGCTGGTCCTGGTGAAGGGTCACAGCCCACTTCGCTGGGGATGTCCCGCCCGGGGTGATCGGGCCTGGTGGGCGATTGGGCCCAGCTTCTGGGGAGTACTGGGGTGGCCGGGCCTGGCTGGGTGTCGTGCGGCTTTTGGTGAGGGGAGTTCCGTGGTGCTCGGGCCGGGAGGGGACTCTGAGGTGGCAGTGCCCGCTTACAGGGGAATGGTGCTGGGCTTTGCCGGCGGCCCGGGCCTGGCTCCTCCTGGGGGGCAGCGCCGAGTAACCTGGCCCGGCGCGGGGCTGCCGGTGTCACCGGGCCGGTCTTCCGGGAAAATCTCGCTGTGGGGCTCTATCTTCCCCTCCCCAGCCCCCTTTCTCCCTCCCTCTCTCCCCGCTATCGGGGCCGAGCGCCGTTACCGTCGGTGGATGTGCGGATGAGGTCTGCCATGGTGCGTGCGGGCTCCATTGCAGCTGGTGCCGGTCCCGGTGCCGGTATGATGCTGGAGCGGCGCGGGGGCGGGTCAGGCTTGGCGCGGTGAGTCAGTGGCCGGTGGTGACGGGACGCGCGGGAACGCGGGCCCGGGTGGGTGGCGTTTGCTCAGCTGCGGCTGGAGTGCCCAGTCTGAGTCTGACCCTTTGCCGCTTGTGGAGCCCCAGGCCAGGGAAACCTGCCCTGAGTGTTCCCTGCTCTCGGCTCTGCGTTGATGGGATGTGGTGGCAAAGCCTAAAGCAGAGACTGAGGCATCCCTGACGACACAACAAGAAATGACACAAAGGCTGGAGAGGAGCGTGGGACTGTGGGGAGGCAACTGGTGTGGCATGGAGGAAGGAAGCGCCAAGGGCCTGACCTCACCAACAGCCTCCAAGCTGTTCCCTGAGGGGGCTCAGGCTGAACTTGGTGTAGGCACAGCGTGATGAGGCCCTGTGGGTGTTTATTCCTTTACTGGCCAATTGCCACTTAGGTCATCAGGACAAAGCCTTTACTTTCCACGGACTGTTTTCTGCCATTGCTCTTATTGTCCCTTTTCTGGTGGCAAAAGGCCTGTCCCTTACACTTAAACCAGGCTTGGAGCAGTGACAGCCAGCGTTACCCTCAGTGAAGACCTGTGTCTCTGTGCTGACCAGTCAGGTGCTGCTGTCTTGCATCAGAAGAGACACTGATGCCTTGTTATCATTCCTCATAGAGAAAAGCAACCTGGCCGGGGTGCGGCACATCCTGCTGGTGCTCTCTGGGAAGGGCGGCGTAGGGAAGAGCACCATCTCCACCGAGCTGGCTCTGTCACTCCGGCACTCTGGAAAGAAGGTGAGTGAGGGTCTGTGGAATGCTGAGCTCTGTCTTCTCCTTCCTGACCTCCAACTAGCCTGGGTTTTGCTCATCTTTTATGTATGTGTGTGCCTCTGCGGGCAGCATGTGATTTCTCTGTGTGAAAATGCTGTTTGTGGTAGCAGTTTGAGTGATTGATTTATTTTTTTCTGTGTTTGCTTGATCCAGTGCAGGTAAGTGTCATTCATTTCCCTCTCAAGAAACTAAAATTACCCAAGATTTGTTGTTGAAGCTGAAGCACTGAGAATTATTTTGCTGGTGTAACACACACTCCTTTTGTGGAGTGAAGTGGGTGAGCTGGATGGTGTTATGATGGGGACAAAGGGCAACTGTGTGGCCATGAGGCAAGCTGAGTTCTACTAGGATTTTTTTAAAAGCTCTATGCAGCCAGTGCCTCTTGGATCCTGACAAGTGTCTGGCATAAAGATCTTTCCAAAGTGCTCGGAAATACCCAGGAGATCCTCCTTGGAGGGAAGGAGAATGGGAGGGCAGTCAAACTTGAAAGCAGTTCTTTGAAACTGGTGCTCAGCCCTGTCTGAAAGGCTCTGCCTCACTGCCCGCAGGTGGGGATCCTGGACGTGGACCTGTGTGGCCCTAGCATACCCCGCATGTTCAGGGTGCAGGACAACGATGTGCACCAGTGTGACAGTGGCTGGGTCCCTGTCTTTGTGGACCAAGACAAGAGCATCTCACTCATGTCCATCGGCTTCCTGCTGGAGAAGCCAGATGATGCCGTGGTGTGGAGGGGACCCAAGAAAAACGGTACAGTTGGTTTTTGCTGTTGGTGGCCACCTTCCAGTGCTAGGAACCTTCTGTGAGCCCTCCTAGAGGTGGTGCTGGCTCCTGCTGGGGGCTGGACTTTTCTTGGCAGATCATTCCTTGGTGAAACAAGGCTCCTGTTCGCAGGAGTGGGTTCAGATCACTCAGGTTGGGAGGGTGCAGCACACGTTGTGCTGACAGATAGCTCTGTTGTCTTTCCCTAGGCCCTAATCACCCTGGGTGCCTCCCAACCACTGCCCCGCCTGGCCCACAGCTCCCAGGGCACCTACTGAAACCTGTGTTGTTTTTTTTTTTCCTCGCCCTTTTATTTCTGTAGCTTTGATCAAACAATTTATTGCTGACGTGGCCTGGGGGGACCTGGACTTCCTCATCGTGGACACACCGCCAGGCACGTCCGATGAGCACATCTCCACAGTGGAGGCCTTGCGGCCCTACAAGCCACTGGGCGCAGTCCTGGTCACAACACCCCAGGTAGGGAAGCTGGCTGGGGCTGAGCTGGAGTTCCTGGGGAGGCTTCTGCCTCTGGGCATGGTTTTTGGCAGGGGAATATGCACCCCAGGTGGGTGTGTGCAGAGGCCTGTCTGTAGCTGCTTGTTCTACACATCTGCTTCTCATTTGATGCATTCAGTCAGTCTGGACAAACGGACACCCCAAACCTCTGCTGCTCTCCCCTGCAGGCTGTATCTGTGGGAGATGTGAGGCGAGAGCTGACGTTCTGTAAGAAAACGGGCTTACGAGTTCTTGGCATTGTGGAGAACATGAGCGGCTTTGTCTGCCCGCACTGCTCGGTGAGTTTGTGACCTCTGGGCTATTGTGGGTTCTTGTTCGTGATGGGGTGTTGTAGGATGAAGTGCCTCAGGTTGAAAATTGGCAAATGTCACAAGGATGATGCTGTGAGCTGGGGAGGTGCAAAGCTTCCAACTGCTGCTTGTCAGCTTTGAAAGGTGTCGCTGGTTCTGCTTTCCTAAAGGGAGCCTGGGGAGTACGACCGGAGCAAAGGCAGTGCCCTGAGGCTGGGAGGTGGAGGGGAGCTGCTCTACCCCTGTGCAGGCAGCACCTGCCCTGTCACATGGATGCTCTGGGGTTCATGACTCACTGCTTTTGCTCTTCCTCCTTCAGGAGTGCACAAACATCTTTTCCAAAGGGGGAGGTGAGGAGCTGGCCAAGCATGCTGGGGTCCCCTTCCTAGGTGAGTGGCCTCTGGAGTTCTCTGTGGTTAGAGGTGATGTCTGTGTGGTGTTGTGGGAGTGCTTGAGCGGAGAGATGCAGGAGCATGCAGGCTGGACTCCGGTTCCTGTGAGCCCCTGGCACCTGGTCATAGGTGAGCTGTGGTTCTTGCTTTGCTTCTGTGCCATCCAGAGTGCCCAGAGCGGGCATCTGGCCCCACGGAGGCAGAGGCAGTGATGATCAGGAGCTTGCTCTGGCTGCTGACATGGTGATATCAGAGTAAGCAAGCCTGAAGCTGCACAAGAGCCATCCCGAAATGCTCTGGAGCCTCCCTGAGAAATGGGGGCTGAGTGAGGGCTGAACACTGCCCTCTGGACAGAGCTGAGTTCAGGGGTGAGGGTGTCTCTTGTGAAGCACTGTGGTGTGGTGGGGTCTTGGACCCAGAGGAGGTGGCTGCAAGTGAGAAGTATCTCCTGGAGAGCTCCATGAGGGCAGTGCTTGCTCTTTCCTACTGCTTCTCCTGGAAATGACCCTGGCCGGGTTATTTCTTTAATCTTGAGCAAGCAGTCACTCCCCATTTCTCCTATCCCACAGGCTGTGTTCCCCTGGACCCCCAACTCAGCCAGAGCTTGGAAGAGGGCAGAGACTTCATCCAAGAGTTTCCCAAGAGCTCTGCCTTCCCTGCCTTGGCTCACATTGCCCAGCAGATCTTGGATGGTACCTTGCAGCAGAGCTACTGAGGAGGATGTGGAGCTGGACTCTTGCTGGCTGAGCCCCTGGCCTGGCAGCACCACCAGCAGCCTGTGCCAGTGGGGAGGGGGGATGCAGAAGCTGTTTAACTATAAAACTGCCTCGGTAGGGGGTGATGGAGGGAGGGGGGAGCACAGCATCGACGCTGCTCATGGCAGTCCAGAAAGGGAAATCCTGCTCCATCCCCCTGGATCTGAAGAGACCCTGTGCGGGTGCTCCTGCCCGCACAGCAGCAGCTCGCTTCTTGCCTTCTCGACGTGGCAATGCTCTGCCCAGATGGCACAGTTGTCCCTAGCCCAATCCATGCAGCATCTTCCGCTGCAGCCAGCTGTTGTGCGGGTGCTTGGGGAGCTCTAGCTTGTGTCCACGGTGTCTCATATGCTGCGGCGCTTCCAGCGATCACCCAATGCAGCTACAGTGGCAAATGCTGCCAACTGTTCTTCCCTCGATGAACCCGAATGGCACCGATTGTCTGGATCGTGGCTCCATGTGCTGCTGCCTTCTGCTGCTTTCCTCCTGTGACGGATTATGTGGTACTTGGTTCAGTGGCTGGTGAGTTTGTGCTGGATGCTCTGATGTGGACCCAAGCCAGGCCACCTTGCTCTGACATCTCAGATCACTGGTTCCTGATGGGCCTGTGAGGGCACACGATGTGCTTTCACATGAGAAAATGTCTTTAGTAGGAGATCTACCACCCGTCTGAGGTCTACATCCTGCTGTGCTGGAAAAAGGGCCTTTTTAGTCTGCTGGGGGTTGTCGTGACTCAGGAATATTTTTAAAGGTTCCAGGCAGTAAACACTTTCTTAAAATCCAGGTCTGTGACTTATGGTTTTCCACGGCTTCAGGCCTCATTGTAGCTGTGAGTCCTGGTGTTACAAGCACTTTATGTACATCTAGGTATTTCCTACTTTTCCCCGGTTTCCTTGCTGGGGTTCAGTTAAATCTTTACTCCTTCCATACCAGCTTCAAGACCCAGCCAGTCCCTTGTTTTGTCTGGCAGTCCTTTGCGGGATGCTTTGCTGTGGCTGTTCTCCACACCCCTGCCACATGGGCTCCTCTGTGTCCCTGGGTAGTTCCTGCCTCACTGCTCCGAGTGTGCTGTTCCCTGGGACCTCCGGCCGTGGCCTCAGAGCTGCTGCTCCCGTGGGACCTGCCCTCCTCTTGCAGGCTTGAGTTAAGCTGGGGAAGCAAACGAAGTTGATGTCCTTGCATCTTATCTCCCTCCCTCCTGGACTCTGAGCCCCTACTGCCTGCATGCTCTCTCCACACTCAGGACTTGCTATTGAAGTGCTGTTTTGGGGAGGCACAGGGCAAAATCTCAGATTTACACTACCCAAACTGGATAATAGCTGGCAGCCATCCTTTGGAGGAAAACAGAAGGAGCATCTGTCCCTGCTCCTGGTGTGCGCACAGCAAGGACTCACATCTGACCAGGATTCCCCATGTGCAACTTTCCAGGAAAATTTTGTCTGACCTTTGGTCACTTATCTGAGATTTGAAGAGCTGGGCAGTGGTGCCAGAGTCTGACCGGGCTGTTGGCTTCTGCAGAATGGCCGGGCACATGCCCCCTCCCTGGGCACATGCCACCCACCTGGTGCTTGCAGAAAACTTGCTGCAGACTCCTCCAGTGCCCTGGGGAGCCTGCGCTCCTTGCCCTGTGCCTGCAAGCCCTGAGGGCCTCTGATAAGCAAACCCAGCCAGGTGCAGCACGTGCTTTGGAAAAAACATACTTACAAGATGTGTTGCGATAGCTCCAAAGGTTTATTTGTCTGCTGTGGTTTATCAGGTAAGTGACATGTGTGGCTTTTTGCACCCTGCCTACACCTGCTAGTGCAAGGAATGATTAAAGCAAGTCATTTTCCCCCCTTCCCTAACCTACTGTGGAGCTCGGGCAGCTTTTAGGATTTCTTGGCTGCTCTGTGGCAGGAAGATGCTTTGCTTTGTCCTGCTGATGAGTCCTGGCCCCAGCAGGGATGCCCCTCACCATGGGGAGGGCTCTGGGCTGGGTCTGCATCTTTCCCCCATCACAGAGACTGAGATGCTTGTGCTCCTGGTGGGAGCTGGGAATGACCATGCTGATCCAGGGGGTGCTACTTTAAAGGACTGAAATATTTCAGTTTGAAGTCTGGGGAGTCAGTGCCCATCCAGCATCACCTAGGCACAGCTCTCCTTGCAGTGGAAGCACCAAGATGGGCAGCTGGAGGTGGTGGCAAAGCTGGGCTAAACTGACTTGGCCATAGAGCCAGAGGTCCTGCTGCTGCCCTGGGGAGCCTGGGACAGGGCCAGGGAGGTGGCAGGTGAGGGTCCACGACTGGGAAATGGCATGTCCCCTGGGAGGGGCCAGCACACCTCAGCAGTGAGCAAAGCTGTCCTCTGTGGTGTCCCGGAGGTCCAGGCCTGCCACAGCTGGGGGATGGAGGCAGGTGAGGTTGTTGTAGGTGTAGACAGGGATGTGGGCATCATCCCCCTCAGCCACAGACTGCACAAAGCGTGGGACCACCACGGGGTGCTGCAGGGAAAAGTCCCGCAAGCCCTTCAGGGAGCAGTTGCAATGCCAGTTGTTTCCCCCCAGCCACAGCTGCTCCAGGGCGAAGGAGGCGCACAGGAAGCCCACCGAGAAGGTCTCCAGTGAGTTATTCCTCAGGCTGAGGTACCGCAGGTTGGCCAGGGGGGAGATGACAGTGTTGTCCAGTGTCTCCAGCTGGTTATGGGAGAGGTCAAGCCAGAAGAGTCTCTGGAGAGGGCTGAAGGTGTCCTGGGAGATCTCTAGGAGCTGGTTGAAGGAGAGAAAGAGGTACTCCAGGTTGCTCAGACCCACAAAGAGCTGGGGCGAGAGGTGGCTCAGCCTGTTGTGCTTCAGGTCGAGCTCCAGGAGCTCATGCAGTTCACTGAAGCTTTGGTCTTCAATGACAGAGATGGAATTGTGCTGCAAGAAGAGCCGCCGCAGGCTGGAGAGGCTGGAGAAAGTGTTCACCCGGATCCTGCCAAGGCAGCTGTGCTCCAGGTGGAGGCTGTGCAATTTGGTGACCCCCTTGAAGACATAGTCAGGCAGGACCTTGATGCAGTTTGCAGACAAGTGCATCACCGCCACGTTGTACAGCCCCAGGAATGCCCCAACCCTGATGTCCTGTAGTTGGTTGTTGTTGAGGCTTAGGACCTCCAGCTGGCCCAGCCCATCGAAGGTCCTTTCTGCCAGGTTCCGGATCCTGTTGTGCCCCAGCTGCAGCTCCTCCAGGAACTGGAGGTCTTTGAAAGTCCTAGGCCTCAGGCTGGTAATGGAGTTGGTGGACAAACGTAGGACGTGCAGACTCAGGAGGCCCAGAAACGTGTCCTCAAACAGTGAGACGAGCCGGTTGTGGGAGAGATCCAGCCACCGGAGGGACTTCATACCCATGAAGGCACGGGGTGCGATGGCATTGATCTGGTTGTGGTTCAGGTACAGCTTCTGTAGCTTCTGCAACTTGACAAAGATGTTGATCTTGATGCCCTTGAGCGCATTCCCACTCAGGTCCAGCTCCTTCAGCTCAGTAAGGCTGCAGAAAAGCTGGTGCTGGAGGTAAGGGAGCTTGTTCCCAGCCAGGATCAGCTCCCTCAAGTTGGGCAAGTCATGGAAGACCTTGTCAGGCAGGACGACGAGTGAGTTCCAGCCCAGGTTCAGATACCAAAGGTTGGAAAGCCCAGCAAAGAGCCCTTCCTCCACCTTACTGAAGTAGTTGTTGTTGAGGCTCAGGGAGACGAGGTTCTGGGTGTGCAGGAAGGTGTGGGGAGCCAAGTGCTTGAGACGGTTGCGTTCTAGGTGGAGGTGGTAGAGGTTCCGCAGCCCATGGAAGGCATGCTGCTCCACAGTGGCCAGCTGGCTGCTCTGTAGGTCCAGAAAGTCCAGGGCCGAGAGGTTCCTGAAGGCAGCGGCCGGCAGCAGGGTGAAGTTGTTGCCATCCAGCCACAGGGCTTTGGCATTGGGGGGCACGTCCTCAGGCAGACGTGTTAGGTTGCGGGTGCTGCAGAAGACATTGAGCTCCTCGCTGTAGTCGTCCAAGCTGCAGGCACAAGGGCTGGGGCAGCGTGAGGAGTCTGTGTCCCCCTGGTCCTTTGGGGTGTCCCCTCCAGGGGGCTGGGAGGCGGTGGCCAGAAGCAGTAGGGCCAGGGGGAGCAGGAGGGTGACGCCTGCTGCAGAGAGTGGAGGAAAGGGGACACTGTCAGTGCAGGGCTGTGGCTACTCCTGGGGACCCCTGTGAGACCACCCCTGCCACCTGGCTGCACTGCCAGGGGGGTGGAGGGGTCAGTCCCAGCCCGTTGCACACAGGAGGCACTTGCAGGAGGTCTCAGAGGCTGGATCAGCCTTTGGGAGGGGGCATAGGGTCACCCCTGCTCCTGCCACAGCTTAGACCCTTGGGTGCACGGACACCTAAAATTCATCTCTATATTGCAGCAGCAGCAGCTTCTCCCTTTTGTAGGGGGAGGCCCCCAGTCCCCTCTCCTTCCTCCCCAGCCACCCCACCACTAACTTGCTCCTCCCCATCGCTGAGAGGTCTCAATGCCACAGCCCCTGCCCATCCCTGTAGTCCTCATCCAGGTTTGGGCTCTGCAAGCCCTCAGAGAGCACGGGGGCTCCCAAAATGTCTTATTAGCAGTGAAAGGGGGCGGGGGG